AAAATTCGATTAACTTTCTTAAAATGCAAAATAATGTACACTTCCATTACCGCCCAAGTAAATTTATTCGCATACCGATTAAGGTCGCATACCCACTACCGCAATACTCATGGCGTTTAATTTATTCAATAAAAATTCTTTCATCTGTTATCATACGTAACCGTAAGACAATGGTTTTGAAATATCAACATGCTGTAACTCACCTCGCGGTAAGTCTTAATTTAACCGATTATAAATGAATGGAACCCGCAATAAGAACATAACAAGAATGATTAATGATGCATGGCAAAACGAAATCCGGTCTCATTTAGTTCCAAAATTAATTGTTCGGTCTAAGCTTGGATTATGCAATGGGTGAAATATTTCCGCGCCGTTTTTTTATCATTTTGTTAGTGTCATGAGATATTTCGTTTGAATTGCATTACAATATTTCATGTGCAGGATGGCCATTTTTCATGCTGTTGCGAGGTGTGGGCGAAAGTACTTGCGAAATTTCTTATCTGGTCAGAGGAATTGCCGGACCCAAGGGGCTCGTATTGATTGTGATTAATACGATTTCGAAATCAGCACGCAGGTGTGCTAGCATTCCGACGTAAAAATTGTGGTATATTTGCTCGTATAAGAATGTCATGCAGTCATCGTAAGCAAACAAATTAAGTGGGTGTGTGAGATTTTCTTTGGGGACGTTTTCTATTTGATTGAATTGGTAGGTACGCATTTGGTTTCGAATTCCTGGCAGTTGAAAAGAAAGGTTACTTGTCAAGTACAGGTTTAATTCCAACTTTGTAGATATACAGCGGGCAGAATAAATTTCGTACAAGACAAGCTAAGCCTGCACTCTTTATGGCCAAAGCCCAAAGGGAGATAGGTATTCGTCAGGATTAATGTAGGTATTACAAATGTAGAAAATCTTGTAATGGATTTAACTCTTATTTTAATAAAGTTAGAAATTTTCTTAGATAAAATGTTTACCCACAGTGGAAATCCATGCATTCGAAGACACTGTCATAAGTACTCGAATCAGATAATTCATCAGTTGCTCATAACAAGGATAGCTTTAGCAGGTTTTATGTAAATTTTTGAAGGTTCTTAAGAGGTTTTATTACGTGGATGTCTCATGGTTCTTCAGGATTGTTTTATGTAACTAATATTTCTTATGAACGTGTTTATTCACGTAAAAGCTTGGATATTCATTTTAATTATGTATCATTTGACAACCTGTATCCTTCAAAGGACGCACTAAAATTTGAAACCTAAACCATACGCGTGTGGGAAATGAAGACTGCTTTCCAATGTTGTGTCACTGGGATGGCAACCCTGCTTAGGGGATTGACGTCAGGAGGCAAATTTTAAGTAAAAGATGTCCCCTTTCAACCAAAATCGACCTGTTTCCGCGTTTTTTCCAAAAAAATTATTTCCTTACGAGTTATTCAGTCTGTTTCGTTTTCGTTGAGCCGTTGTATACGCAAGCTTCCTAAAGACTTTTTATTCCCATCTTTTTTTCTCATAGTTCATTGCAAACGCTCTTAAACAAAAGCGTGTAATAAAAAAAGAAATAACCAATTACATATTTTATTTGAATGTCGCAAAACGGATAATTAGAGAACGTATGATAAGCGCTGTTACTAATTTCTATAATCCTTTTATTTACCGTTGTAATAAATTACGCTATGAAAGATTGTAGCGTTCTGCTACATATATTTTCGATTAAAATGTGTAAAATTACATTTGCACCAGAATGAGCTTTCATTTAACGGTTGTCAAAAAATAATTACAGATAGCGAATTATGTCGCTAGAGGATTCATCGGATTTCCACGATTGTTGACGTGCCCGGAATTTTCTTAATCTGCCGCTGAGTAATTAGGCAATGCAGTAAATGATTAGTGCAATTAATGCACTGGATTCGACTTAGATTAATTATTTTTTAAACTGCAATTGAACAAGTAGAAACGATTAGATTTAAGTGGAATATACAGGGTGTATAACGTACGTATTACAAAAAATGAGCGATAAAGGTGTTCCTACCAAACATTTTATTCAAATAAACCAAAGCTGTCCAGCTAGCCCTAACAACCTTTAAACTTAGAATTGTAATTATTTTCCTGGTAATCGTCCGACTCCTGTCACAATAAGATATCTCATTGTTGACTTTAAATTAATAATTTGGGAGACTCGGTAGCCTCTATCAACTTCCGAAAATTTCACAGAAGTAACTACACAAATTTTCATTAACACCTGACGTAGTTCCTGGGCACGAAAAAAAATCTGAAATGAAAACTCTTTCCGGGTTGCACAATGGATTCGAATATCTCCACAATTATTTGACTGACAATGACAAAAATTAATTCCGAAACACATAAAAGAAATAAATCAAAATCAACGAAAGAAAGAAAAGCTTACAAAGCTTGTTTGGACATATTACCTTGCACGCAAGCGGTCGATAATTAAAATAAGAAATCTTAATGTGTTTTATAATTTTGCGCTTAACTCACGCACAAACGCTGACAACTTTTGGAAACTTGACTTGTTCTTGATAACACCGAACATGATGACAAAATCTGGCTTGTTGAAATTTGATGACAAATTTTCGGTAGCCGTACGGACGGTAGAAACTTTTAACTTTTGAAAAGGAAAGTACCTCAACGAAAGACCTCGCTGTACTACAACTACTTGCTCTTTCAACTCGACAAAACTTTTTCCGAAATCGCGATCGCGGACTCGCGTTACACTTCTTACACCGCTTTAGTTATTTTTATACCGACGAACGGCGGCTTCATATAAACAGGCTGACAGCCCGTAAAAAATACACGCTGTTCAACTGACGCGAACCCAACAGCCTCGTTTTCTTGTTGTCTGCAGTATTTAAAAGAACCACCACTTCTACCCTAAAGTAAAATGAATTGCCAAATAAATCGCCAATCGCCATCCCCGCTTCCCCAGCAGAAACGCGCAATATTTCCAAACAAGCACCCGCATTTTCCATCGTCATTGAAGGAAAACGTGCACTAATTACATTTTCGCATGATAAAAAAAAACTCCTTATCGCAAACAGTCAGATGTAACCTTACTTAAATTGAATAATTTGTAGAACTAATAAACACGAACACGAAAACTACGCAATTACAAACAATTATAAAGGGAAAAGTAAACACTGAAATACAAATTCAAACGAAACGTAATAAATTTCACGTACCTTTTCAAGGTAAAATGTCAACGTGACATTTTCGGAAATATCTCCTTTCAAATTCATTGTATTCCATCAATTGCCGAACTGATCGAAACCGTTCCAATAAGTTTCTTTTGATTTGAGTGGATATAATGTTAAAATCGTCTCCGCAGCAGAGCAAGCAACATACCTAATCTTCCACTGCGATTACGAGGATTGACGGTACAGCATAAAACAACACATTACCTACTATAGCAACGACAATAGCGTAATTTAGTGAAAAATCGTCGGAGCTCATAATTTCGTTTGTAATTTCTTGTAGTTGATTTTAAAATTACCTACCCCAGTGAAGTCGACGAAAAAACGTTGTATGCAATTCATGTATAAATCGGCGATTATTGGTTCGTTCGAATTTAGTCCACTCGCTGCGCTCGTGGACTAAACATCTCACTCACCAATAAAACGCCTCATTTATACACTCATTGCATAAATAACTATTTGTTTAGTTTGCGTAATTAAAACTTCAGTTGAAAAAATGTTTAAGGTAATTGATTTTTTCTATTTCGGTGTCACAATGATGATTTTGTACAACTGTTTTCGGCCGAAAACAGTTGTACAAAGACAGTGATTATAGTCGTTTTTTTTTGGGAACTCATCTCTTAAGTTGGCAGTTACTAGTTAGTACAAGTAGGTACTTCGTTGGGTACTTCCATGATTGAACTTCAAAATGTCAGTCTTACTACGCTGCCAACCTAAAACTTAACGGCATAAAAAGTGTTCCCAACATAAAACATGTTAGTTCTAATGTTCCCTATAGTTTCTGATAATGATTTTTTTAATTAAATTAAAGCACCGAAATAGAAAAAATAGTATGAAAACGCGTGTTACAATGCTTTATTGTAATACTCCTATTTTGCGAACACTCGTGGCTACGCTTCGCGTCGCCACTCGTGCCACAAGATAGTCGTATTACAATAGGTCGCATTGTAACACTTGTCTTTCAATATACTATTGTATTATCTGATTAAAGGTTAAAGGTCTGTTATAACCACAAGGTTGATGTTTAGTGATGGTGGAGAATAATTATTAAAGCTAGTAGAATGTGACAAAGCAATGTATCGAAGTGACGTTGACAAATTGACGACAATAATACATTATTTTATTGCAACATTAGTTTTGTCAAATGGACCTTCACGCAACCATGATGTAATTGGAAAATTGCGTAGGATAAAGTCAAATTTTTGAGCTAGAACATACCAGTCTCGTTCGAATCTATAATGACATTATTACATGAAAAACCCTGTATCGATAACTGCAGTTCAGTAAATATGCAGATCAAGTGACCAAGATTTTTAATATCAGGCCGAAGCAAAAGAATGACGGCACAAGTTAAAATAAACAGGTCAACATCGCCAATAAGACTAACCGGTCTTTACGAGAATTTAGCAACATTGAATACCTTATCCCAGAATTTCGAAACGCGAACTAGCAAAGGTGTGAATAAAAGAAGTAAAGGAAGAGGTACAAATATTGACTAATTGCGAAGGATTTTACTACATGCAATTTAAATGTTTTGCTTTATCATCGCCCCGGCTTTAGAAAGGAATGTCGTGTAACATACAGGTGGCAAATAAATAAATAATTTATATTCCATTATAACGCGAATGCAAATGAATCTTTCGTTTTACAAACGGTCGTAAAATGTAAATAATACCTATCAAGGTTTCTTCACTCATTGCTAATTATAGAAAGATAGATTTATGGAATACAGTAGCTAAGGGGTTGGAGGCCAGAAATTCGGTTCTGAAAAAAAAGGACAAGAATTGGACTTACCTATACAAAGTCATGGTTGGTCGTAAAAAGCGCAGTGGACGCCTTTCTGAAACAAAAGGATACGATTTAACGGATAACTTACAGTAGTTTATGTAATCATATTGAAGTTTATTTATTTATTATCCCTCTCTTGTTCTAGGCCCTCAACAGGCTTGCGCCCAATTACAGAGTGACCCGCATAATGTTTTTTAGAGGTGCCTGTTGTGATGATCTAAATTAAACCCACCTCTAAGCATTTATGATTATTGCGACGGGACGGCAGAAATTTGTGACGCTTCTCAATATTTTCGAGCAAACAATTTCCAAATAAAATTAATGCATCTCAGAAATCAGAACTATAAACAATTCAGCATAAATTAGTAATTTGTTTTTTTTTTTAATGAGTCAGCAGGTTGACTGTATAAACTGCAGCGGGTTGTTGAACACCTAAAAACTACCATACATTCTCTAACTTTGGTTAACAAGGTGGTGATAGATTGAATCTCGAAAAATTCCTACAAATTATTGTGGTAACCGTTCTGCTCCCATTAAAGTAGACATTTTTAAATAAACTGCAATGTGTCGTAATTGTGCTTTTTTAAAACTCATGAAAGTGTCAAGGTTATCCATTGTATCGTTACTGAATACGCAAAGTGCTCTTTTTGCACCTTGCAAAGAGGTGTGACAGGACGTCCTTCTTGATTAGACCGTTTTTCAAAATAGCTGGTTACGAAAATTTTAAAGATAACAAAATATAACCTCTTGTAGAATTAACACTGACAGGTATTTTTCAATGGGTTCATCATCACCCCAGCAACAAATTCTTAATTATTTAAACCGGGCATTTCCATAATGTGTAATTAGACAACTTTGGGTTGGTCTTGAGTCAGCTCTTCATAAACTTCAAAAATTATTATTTTCACATTTTAACATTTCGTTAGTACATAATATATCGATTGGTACCCGTTGTCGTCTTTGCTTCACAATTGCTAATAAAGGACATAGTTACCTCGTTCATTCCTAACTATACCTACAAGTTCATGGTTTTTTAAAAGTTAAGTGCTTCGTCACTGGTTGCAATTCATTGAACAATAGGCAATGGTATTCTAATTTTATTAAATTGAGAGACACAGTGATACTCGATTAACTCCCAACAATTCCAAAGAAATAACTAAACAAATTTTCATTAAAACCTGACATAATTCTTGGGCATGATTGGAAAAATTTGACATGAAAACTCTATCTTGGTCGCACTTACTTAGGGTTCGATTAAACACACACTTAATTAATTGACAAAGGCAAACATTTATTTGGCCAGCATAAAACAATAAACAATAATGCCGGAAGAAAAAGGGGCATTCAAAGCCCTCAAATCCCGTTTTTACACATGCCACACATCGAGCCACACATGCAAGCGTTCGTTCGAGAATTAAAGAAAGAACACTCAACTACTTACAGTTTTTTTATAATCCATCAGAATAGAATTGTTTTAGTTGTGAATTGATAAATTCTACAGTTTCATTTACATCGGTTGGTAGACAGGATGAAATAGAGCTGGGTATCGTTAGCATACAAGTGCAAATTTACATTTTTAGAGATGCAGCTGCATTGCATTTCATCAGGCGTAAACACAATGTACAATACCGGCCCAAAATGCTAACATAGCTATCATAAGAATTTTTGACATGGCATGGTCTCAACTCTTCGTACCCATTAACAGTAGTGACTTTACCGAGGGGGAGTGTGTTAATTTCCATTTCTAAGGAAAACATCAACCAACCAATAAACTTTCGACTGGCGTTGGCCATCTCGCTGAAGATATGGCACCCTCGCATTTGGCATTAGCAATTAGCATTTTCCTATTCCCTTTGGTCCAAAACCATTTCTGAGGACGCTAACATAACAATTCAATTCAGTGAAAATGGCGAAATGTGGAAAAAAACCTTGAAAATCAAGCGATAAATGCTTAAAATAAATCATAATGAAAAATAAGGAATTGGTTGTTAAAATTTCTGGGAATGGTAAAACTTTGTACCATTTTCCAGACCATTTATATTATGACTACGGTTTTATACCAATTGACTTATGCGGTTGACCCATTAATGACAACACTTGGGCCACTCGCTCAAGTGCGACTGCTTTATTACTAGTTAAGTTAACTTTGCCATACGTTGCTGCAGAAAATAAAACAAAATAAATTGTATATCAACAAACATTTATTGAACTAAATTGCATTAAACTAAAATAAAACGTTACTCTCCACTTAGAGTTTCTCGAGGTTTCAAAATGATTTAACGAGGATTTAACAAATTACTTAAATAAGCACATAAGTGAAAGTAGTTCAAACAGAAGAGGTGATAACCAAATAGTAACGATGTACTAAATATATTTCGTGACTTTAAACAGAAAAGAATTTAAAGTTCTAGAATTGCAATGTTCGATTATGCAATGTAATACCTTTTTAAGTTTGACGGGTTTGGTTGAATTGTGGAGATCGTTTTATCCAGATTCTCAAGGATTGCACAGATGATTACACAAACACGTGATCGCTATATCATTTTACCAGAAAGAGATACCAGAAAGAGGTTTCAATACGTATTAGTTACGTTTTTACTATATTTTTAGTTACTTAAACGGTTTGCACCCGCACAGATTTTGAAATTACAAGAGTAAGTAGCTTAAATTCATGACAAAGGTTCGTGAGGTGGCTAGTCTCAGGAAGGGAGTGCGTAGTTTTCGCTGTTTCTTGTGCAGTGTGAGTGGACATCTTTACATGTATTAAAACAGTGTAAGTTTGCTTTCGCATAGCACCAGCAAGAATATACATAAAGCGAATAGAACGTCATTATCCTGAGTCCTTTGAATGCAGACTTGCAGTCAGCTCTGTAAGGTAGTCTTGCTACTACACGAATGGTCTTTCTTTGCATGCCGAAAACCCCTTTTGCACTGGCGGCATGGCCCCAAATAGTGATGCATTGTCATATTCTTAGGTTGTATTTCTGCAAATCCTTAATTGAACAATCCCTTTGTATAGAAGATATACAGACATAGTCATTTAAGACAAAACGTATAAGGCTGTTTCGCGCAAACCGGTACCTAACAGTATTAGACCTCCATTATTTAAATCTCAAAAGTTTGCATACCAACATAGTTTTTCATGTTCTATCGAAAAAAAATATTATCATGATCGTTTCACTTCCGGTTGGATAGCAACTTTCTTATTTTAAATAGATTTTATTGCATTTTCGAAATCTACATGAAAATCTACGTCGTTTGTGACCAGATTTCCCTATACCTACCATCAAAGGTTTTTAAGTTATTCTAAATTTTTCAAAATTTTTGACGTTTGATTGCTTTTCTTTAGTGCCCAGTTGACATGAATTTCAAAAAGTCCTCCAAATTCAACAACACTGACGAGAAGCTGCATGCGAATGATTTAAAACTTGATCGTCCTTCTACAGAGTGTTAAAATTAAAAGTCAAGTTTAATAACTTCGAACCTTAAAAAGTTGATTTTTTAAAATGAAACCTTTATTTTTTTGAACTTTCAAATGTAGAAAAAAATTCTACATCGATCAATTATTACATTCCCTGTACCTATCTGTTATGGTTTTCGTTTTATTTAAGATTATCTAATATTGTGACCGTTATATACACAATTTTCTTAGGAAATTTTAGAAAATAGAAAAACCGCCTATGGTCTGTATTTACACTCGCCACAGTTAAAAATAAAACAAATTAAAATTAACATCACAGCTTCGAGGACAAAAATTCATCGATCGAATAAAAGTTATCAGTTAGCAAGATCTTTGTAACATTAATTCTATTATATGAAATATCGTCCTTAATGTTAAAAAACGCAAATTTTAAACTAATATTACTTACACACTCTTACTACGTGCATTTCAAGTTTTCGGCGTCCAGAAATAATGTATAAACCGGGTTATTACTTTGATCCCCCCCCCCCCCACCGCTCAGTTTCTATCAGTTTTATCAAAAATAAATTCAATTCAATTCTCGAAAATTGGAAAAAATGTTAAAGATCTATCTTCTGTAGATCTTAGAATTTAACGTACAATCAATCAATCAAAAAACGAATAAAACACAGGGTGTCCCATTTAGAATTTTCAGGTTAGGAGATGTGGACCGCTTTTGGGAAACCTTGTATAAATAATATGTATACTGCCAAAAATTTGGAAAACCTGATACAAAATGAGCTCGAAAATGAGTTATGGTCTGCTGCTTGAAAAGTTCAAAAATGAGGAGAAAAAGCTCAAATACATTTTATCTAGGTGAGGTATGTAATTAGTACAACAAATAAATAAATTTACGCTTTTCTCTAAGATTCCTCGATACATTTTTGGAACAACTATTTTTTCTCACACGCTACCAAAAGGTCACATCCAAATGTAAATAAATCTCTTCTCTATTTACGCACAAAAAATTTTAATCGAAGATTGAAAATGTTGCTATACAGACATTTGAAACACTGACTGTAAATTTATCATCTTCACTTCCTTTTTAAAGCAACTTTTGATGTTGATGTTGATGTTCTGGGCCCTCAACAGGCAAGGTAATAAGACATATCGACCTTGGACTTGGACTATATCATAGCTTGGCATTAGATTTGCAACTACCAAATTAGAAAAAGCTAATCTTATTGATTTTTCGGAAACTAATTTATTTCGGAAATGTTGTTGGGACAACCTGCCCAAAGTGTAACAGAACAAATATGTAAGGATATGGATGCGTTGAGGCGAGGGTAGAGGGGACCAAAACAAGCACTTCTTCGGCATAATTCATACGCTGAAAACGTTTCGTTTGGAAACTACGTCCTCAAAAGTCCCAAAATGTGTGTGCCTTCGTTTAGTCCCTTTCCCAATAAAGTGTGATTTATGGGTGAAATCAATAACATTCTTTCGCATTTTCGTTTCGGGTTGCGCTATCTTGATGTGGGAAATTTGGAAAATTACTTCCAAATTCGGAAAGGATGTAATCATAAACACAGGCGGCTAAGATGAAAGTTTAATAATGAACCCTCACATACGTAGTGGTTCAAAAGTTATCCTCCCTTTCACCAATTAAAAATGGCACAAAACGGAACGGTGGCTTGAAACTGTTTGGGAATTCCAGCCACGATAGTATACAATTACTTCGCAGGTACAAATACGTATCTTTGGTTTGTTTTTTTCAAAGATATCACAAAATATGCAAAATTTTATTCATACCTAGTGATAGGATTAAAAGTAATAAATTTCTAATTAAAAAATTAAAAACTAGGTAAAAAATGGGTAGGTCAACCTCAGGTAGTTTCATCTGTATTTTTTCCACAATCATTAATTAATACACTTACTTGTACTAAAAATACCATTTTTTTTCATTAATGAGATCTTGACCAGAGGCGTTTTTACTTTGATTTTATAATTGGTGCAACCTTTTAAGTAACTCAATTATGATAAGCATAATAGATATAGAAATAATAATAGAGATTCCGACGTAAAAAATAGTGAAATAATATCACTGCTTCCCAATTTTTCTAGTCACATTAAAGTCGCTGTGACTAATATTTAATAATGCAATTTTCTTTAAGTGCACTACTTATAGATTAGACTTCCAATATTCTTCATTTTCATTATATTTTCATATATTGCTTGTGGAATTGCAAAGGATGTGTGACAGCCAAAAGTTGGGTAGGTTGCCCAAATTGTACGTGAGGTAAATCTAGTCGATTTTTGACGTACCCGAGACAAGTTTTTCACAATAAAGACAATCGCATCGCATCCTTAAAAGCATAGGCCACCTCATTGTTGACTAGAGACGATGGGATATCGCTCCTAGAACCTACCCCTCACCTATCCACAACGCTAGAGACTTCCATGAAGAAAATAAAATACACATAGTCGCAATTAAAGAAGAATTCATTCATGACAAGTACAATTCAACTTCAAGTATCATTGTCCTTCACCTATGGTATTTATATTTACCGATGTATGAACACACAGATCTCACATCTATTTCTTTGCTCTAAACGTGGAAATATAATGTTTATTGACTAATAAGTAATAACATTCCTAAAACATCACTTACAGCAAAATGTCTTTTTGACACGCGAATTACTGCATTTCGCAATACCAGCACATTCCATTAAGTGAACCAATCGTTATTAATTTTGGGAATAAATGATGCCGTTCATTAATAGTTGCCGAATAGATAAGTAGGTAGTAAGGAATTTAAATTATAAATTGGTAATGCGCAATAGTTTCCTATAAATTTACCACTTAAATTGATTTTCATGGGATACTGTGATTTTTAATGTTCTCATTGACCAACTTGAGAAATATTTTTGGCAAGCCACCAGAGCGCACAGAACGGGTAGGTATATTTAGGAAATGCTATGTCGATGTTGGTCAGAAATTGTTGGAGGGTGTTTTTAAGCAAAACTCATTTAGACTTTCGTGCTTTTATTTGAAAAGTATCCGGTAAGAAAAACAATTTATTTTCCTATTCCAATACTGCAGAATACTGTCAAGAACAGAATTTCATTCATAAAAGAATTAATCGAAACCGAAGGATTTTAGATTAAACTTCAAAATCAATGGAGATGACATCTATAAAACAAACCTTTGACAATGGGAGATTAAGTAAATTCGGCTCTTAAATTTACGTGTTCTTATGCAACATAGGAAGGTAGCAAATTACTTACCATTTAAATAGCTGTTTATCCTTCCGGAACGTTTAAATAACACTTAATAATTACTATCTTTGCACACTAATCACTCACAAAATAATAATTTTCGTGTTCACAATTAACATGAATAGGTATGTTTATCCACCGTGAAAAAAAAAGTAGATTATCCGATTCACGATTTTGGAGAATCATTAATGCGACGAACAGTTATGGGGGACGTACCACCTTGTTGTACCGTATTAAAAAACACAGTGGAGATATAATGTCTCGAGTTCGCGTAGGACAAGGTTACCGAGACCAGTTTAACGTTAGAAATGAATATATTCATTATGAATCACCTTAAAATAGTTGAAATTTGTACAGAAATACTCGCTTAGCATACAACCTTCGAGGGCCGTGGTAAAAATTTCGAAATATATTTCCGTAGCTGACGCACAAGTTCTTCCCCAGTTTTTGACCACCACAACACGAAAACACACTCGATGTGAGCTAATTCGTTTTGCGTACAAAAACAGGTTTACGTCTTCAAAAGACCAAAAAATGATAATGGTGAGTGGTGCAATTTTCGTAACGGTAGTACTGAGTAAGTCTCCGGCTTCAAATTTGCATACAACAGGCAGCGGAAGTACGTAAACCATTGTACGTTGTACCAAATTAACTCGACTTACTTTAGAGGAATCACATCCAAATCGGACAGGAACACTGAAGATATGCAATTTAACGTGATTAACCTCAAATTTGGATTCACGTTTTGTTTCGTATGACTTCACTCACGATACAGATTTGGCCATCCTTTCAAATTCAATTCATCTTCATTCTTTGCATCTAATCATTGATAAGTTTATTGTAATTTTGTGAGATGTAGGAATTAAGCCTTGTTATGATCAATTGATTGATTAATCTTGAAGAGAAAGTGGTGGGAAACAAACGGGTTAGCCATACAATTTCGCTCTCACACGCTGTTTCTTTTCTGAATACCGTCACTGTCCTTCAATTAAATGTTTCTTTACATGCAGTTTGTGGCAATTATATCACGTCTTTATTACTGAATCGCTTCTGATATTACCATTGAGGATGGTCACGACCACTTTAACAGAACAAATGCCTTTTTCTTATTTTATTTGTCCGAACCCGAAACGCAGACCCCGTGCCGTAATCGACCATCCAGTTCATTACGACTAGTAAAGTAAGTGTTCAGTACCATCCACCCCAGTGTTTTCTTTAAGTTTTTCTAGTAACACTGACCTTAAGACATGCTAGGTTTTTTGAGTATGCCCTTTCTTTGACCTTTTTTCCAAAACTCTCACCCTAAGTTTGCGTACCCCTAAATTCGCCGAAGATTGGGGTTTATCTGAGGTACATGAGAATAATGAACCAAACTTAGTTTGAGGAAATTGAAAAAGATATGTCAACTGCTAACATGAAAAAAAACGTTAGATTTCTAATTCGCTCGAACTGCAAAAAGTCGCTTTAAGAAAAGTACTTCACTCTAATAGTCGATGAACTGCTACCCTACGCCGGGATCAGAATTTTGGAGCAGGAGTTTAATTGAGTTTTGGTGAATAGAATTTTTCTATTAGGTTTATATGGAGTTTGCACCTATTTAATTCTAAACCGTTGCCGTATTACTGTTTTCTAAATAACCCTCTTATCTGAGGGATCCAGTTTCTAGTTTTGCAGTTTTAAATTCTACTTTTTTTTATCAAGTTATACACATCCCAGTTTCTAGTTTTGAGTTTTAAATTCTACTTTTTTTTATCAAGTGTGCACACGGTCAACACCTTAACTGAGGTAACTTACACCAAACCGCGATTGGAGCGGAGACAATGAAATTGGATCAATGGGTCATCTATCTATTTTTCTCCAATGGGGTCATCCCGCCTTCATTTTTTATTTCTGATCCACAAAGTACATTAAAAATAAAAAGACCCGTGTGTCCTTAATTTTTATTTGCGAGTAAAATAAACCCAAAATATAGTATATTAAGTATGGAGAACGGTAAGGGATTTTTACCGTTCGAAGACAATTGTTTGGAGGAGGAGCGGAGCGACGACTCCAATTATTGTCGAACGGTAACCCTTAACGTTCGACGTGCTTATAACATTTTTTGCGCGATCGAAATTAAAATTATGCAACCAATATAAATATGCACTAAGAAATTAACGAGCAGAATAAATCGAAATAATCGAAGTGGTTTGGTGTACATCACTAGGTAACCAGTTTAAATGTCAAAATTGAAATTAATAATTTCATAAAAATGTGCATGTGTCTGATGTAGTTTACTAGCTTTGAACTTCCTTTATGACTTTATGAGCGTCTTGCTATAGGAAACAACAGCACAAAATGTACGTTTAATGTACCTAACAATAATTAAAGATTAAATGTAATGTAAGACTGTTGATTTTTAAAAAGGCGTCGGTAAGTATTTTTGCTGTTCTGTTTTTAGATCGGTAAGTAATTTTGGCGTCGTCGTAATCATAGCAACTGGTAAATTCTACGTACTGTCATAGAAACATCCATGGTAAATAGTCAGAAATGACCGATCGCGCAAAAAATTATTGAAAAGCTGTGTTTTTAGTCCGAATTTGTAACGCTTCAGACTAAATACGTCACAAACCTACAACCAATCACGTAGAAGTGAGCTGGCAACCTTACGCGAGGGTCTGACGTTTGTCACATTTGACGTTTTGAGAGGGATGTTTAACTGCATCTAGCCACAGCCGTCTATAATTACAAGCCATGCTGAGAAGTTTGGCAACGTTGTTTGAAAGTCAATCGGTGGGCCGATTTAGTTTTAATGGCGTCTTGTTGCTCTTGAAAAATGGCATTTTCCTCTCTCCTGTGTTTTGCCTTGGCGGTTTTAATATAGAAGAAAGATACTTAGGCAGCTTACAATTGTGCATATATATTATTTATTTACAAAAATGGATAATAACATTTTTATATGACTTTAAAATTCGGAACGCTGTAAATTGGTAACTGCATCATAATGTGTTTTCCCTCGAGATCTCCGAAAGTGGTGAACTTCTGTCGAAACAGGTCGAGGTGAAGCACACGCTTGAGCACTTAATTTAGGTAAAAGGACAGTAAATCGCTGCGCATCAGCAAGGTTTTATCAACGACCAGGTGTGATTCGGAATGGCAGACTTTAAGCCAGCCGCTACTCCAGTGGGTGTAGGTACGAAGCTTTTAAAGAGGGGAACCCTGTAGACTTCAAATTCCCGTACCATGAACTCTTGGGAATAAGTTGAAAGGTTCCTTCAGAAAATCGATTTGACATGTTCGTGCTAGAATACCTGAAATACAAACTAATTGTATTTTTTCATGATAAACACTTACCGTACTTACGTACCACGTAGTGTGTAGGTCATATTTGAGCTTGTACAGGTACTTTGAACAAATACAAGTGCTTGTAAAGGGTCCAGTAACGAGTAGCCTGCTTTAGAGGTATGACAACAAATCGATATATTTCGTTTAGCAACTTACCTGAATAATAACTTCTGTTCATTCCGTACGGAGTAACACAAATTGTCGCAATCTCGCTCTGTTAAAAAAGGTAAATTGGAATATTACACCCAAAACACATATAAAATACACCCAAAATCTGTCAAGTTGAATTAGGAAATCGGCCTACCATGCAGTGTTGCCATAATTCTCAGCACGGCTTGTAATTATAGACGGCTGTGATGCATCTAGCACGAAAGTGACAAGTGCCTGTGACAGATGACGCAAGTTATAAATGCCATTCTCCTGCAATATTGCCAAGTCGTTATGTCATCTGAATGGTTCTAGGAGCTGATTGGTCGGGCTTATTACGTCACAGAGCCCGCCACAATCATATCGTTTTGAATAAACCTTTAAAACCGCACATGTTCATTATTTTTTGCTAATCAGCCTCTATTTTTAAATAAACTTTGACTGTCCAAAAAATGTTTTATGGTTACAGGTACACGCTTAGTAAATTAGAACTGCGGAATTCAACTATACTGTAAACCCCCATTAATCAAGTTTGTAATAAGTGGGTAATTCCTCTTCAAGGAATTATACCAATGTTAATTTTCTTTAAACATTGAAGGTTGTAACGAAACACCCTTTTCGTACATTATATCAGATTTAATGAACACCCGGTACTTCAACGAACTCAAACTGGCGCGTAATTTTTTAATTTATAGAGCTATTTTAACCGCTGATAAGAAAAACCAGCTGCCGAACATAATTGTGACAAGTTTGTAATTGTTCCCGTAGAGATATGTAAATTATTTTTTGTAACGCCCCACAACTCTCGGCATGGGGAACCAGGGGAAAAATTAATATTTTAGAATTTCAGTTCCGTTAATTAGATATCAACCGATTTTAGTTTCCCAATGTTAAGCGAAAACGAGCAGATCGTGCAGTATATTTCATTATCACAGACCTTTTGTAATTAACCGGAAATTCCATGGAACAATGGGTATTACTGGGATACCAAATTTGAACATTTTAACACAGCGAATTAAGTGAGTATAAAATTAACCGTCGTTGTTGCAGCAAACATCGTCTGATTAGTTTGGGTCTAGTGTCATTGGAAGCGCCCTTAATTAATTAGTGCCAGATTTTTAGGATGTCAGAGAAATTAAATAAAGAAGTATTAATTTTTGAACGTTAACACTCGAGTACGTCGCCCGACGTTCCCTTTTCGTATTCTGAACAGTTTATATAAGATAACGGCATGATTTAGGGGGATCTTTTTCCGTTTGACTTCGTGCTATTTTGGATTAAATTTTTGCATTCGAAAGTATCGTTTAATTGATATTGATGTTTTCATTCCGTTAAGAGTAAGGGGGGTTGTTTTCCTTACTTAGACTTCACGTAACTAGTAGATACTGTTAGTTAATTTGTGCTTCCGTTCCGATTTGGGAAATTGCTACCCGCCCGCCCGTGTGCCGTAATGTTGTTGTAGGTATTCGCCAGCGACCGCCGCCATTTGCCCGCAGGATCCCTAGAGAGTTTTCCGCTTCACTGTCTCATTGCTCGTTGCTTCCAAAACCGATCCGAACCCGACCGTCCTTGATCAGGAGCAAGAATCAACAAACTTCTGGTGGCGCTCGAGGATCCATACTGTTCCGCCAAGGCTACCGCACCGGTCCGTCGACTACCTCAGTTGAGTTGTACAATAAAACCTAATAAGATTGGGAACAATATATGTTTTAAATAATTTTTCAGCAGATTAAAAATGTCATTTCTTCTATTCAACTAATTGCATTGTTTATTTTCAAGCAACCGTTTGGGCGAAGACTTC